TACTGCAGGTAGAAATATGCACTAAGCACTCCCATTGTGTGGTTTTTGTGTAATTTAAAAAAAAAGGGCAATGTCAAAAAATGTACATGTTATATATTCTAACTCTTTCATTGAACAAATTTTGCTTCCAAAAAATACAGTGCAATGTAAATACATCACTCACATTTTGCTAATGAAAGTTAAATGTACATTAATTCTTCATACAATAATAGCAGATCAAGTAGGTTCCAGCTTAGATGCTTAGATACTGATCTAAAAAAGATTATTTCCCAGGGGATTATCCAATTTGGGGAAGTGAAAATGAACAGAAAAGTCTATAGCTGCAGAGGCTGAAGATGTATGAACCCAGGGGTTCATTACCCCAGTGAGGTACATCACCAACCCTTTATAAAATGTTGAGTCAATGTGTTGCCAACTTTCTTAATACCTTTTAAATCACTGAGTCTAGTCTCAAAATTGAAATCCTCTTGCCTCAGCCTCCAAAAATGCTGGGATTACAGGTGTGAACCACCAAGCCCTGATTGGCTGCTTATTTATAAATAAGCATGTTCTCTTTGTGCATGTAGGCAACATTATTAACTCTCAGATTAAACTGATTTTGAGCTGGGTGCGGTTGCACATGCATGTAATCGCAGTGGCTCAAAGTCAACCTCAGCAAAAGTGAGGCACTAAGCACCTTGGTGAAACCCTGTCTCTAAATAAAATTTCAAAAAAGGGGCTGAAAATATGACTCAGTGGTCAAGTGTACTTGAGTTCAATCCCTGGTACAAAAAAATTTGATATTGAGAAATTTATCATCTCATTTCTCTCAAAATAATACAGACCTTCATCTGTTTGACCATAAGTCATATTTATATTTTCTTAAACTTTACCTAACTTTTATATTTATCTTTTCTTAACCTTGACCTAACAATTAGTCAACAAAAGAGGGATGAATGGGAATCTCCCCATGCATGGTCAATGTTAAGTCCATCTCTTTTAATGTGTTCAAGGAAGAAATAGTTGAAGGGAAGTTAATTTCTTCAACTTTTAAATGAAAAAGGATGTCACTATTTTCATCAGCAAAGGCTACACATTAAGTGACATTGTCTTGGCTATACCACTGCAAGACTGGCAGTTGATATTGTCATCATATCTCTGTAAAATGCCATTGTTGACCAGATGTGCTCTCTGCAGAACTGGGGAGTCTGAGTTCTTAAGCACATTGTTCGTGTCCCTCATAGTAATCAAGAGGAGACTCACCGAGGTCCTTCAGTGTGGAGCTTGTAAATGACCTAAGTTACAAATGACCTTAGTTTACAAAGTCACTCACTTCCTAGTTTGTGAGACTCATGAATCTGACAGCTGATGCATACCCCCCGACCCCAATTCAAGAATTAAGTGCAAAGGAACTCAGGAAAGAGTAGTGTTAATAAAATGTATCAAACTGATAACATGTATATTTATTAACAATTTTTCAAATTTGATCGGTTGGGCCCCTGTGTGATGGACAGAAAGAACTGGTGGAAGTGCATATTCAAATGGACTGTTGGTATTCCATTGACTCAGTGAGCTCTTGGACTCTATGAACTACATCATTTTGAAAGTTTGCACAAATCTAAACATCATCATTTCTTTACTTCTTCCTCTTCTTTTTTTAAAAAATCATTTCTTCAGCTAAAGTCAGATAATGAGAATATGAACAATATATACTTGATTTTTTTTTAGTAAAAGGAAGAATGTGAGATGAGTATTAAGGGGAAAGGAAAGAAAAAACAAAGAAACAAACATAAAGTGAAATAAAATAATAGAAATAGGAAGTTAAAAAGCAATACTTTTCATGTTCAAAAGCTAATATTAATTAAGGATTTTACTTAAATACTAAAAGAATAATAGGCCACATTACAATTCTAGGAAATGTCAAAATGAATCTGCAGAAACTGTTATATACAGAAACTGTTACATACAATGAAGTAGAAAAGCAGTGAACCCCAATAAAACAATACAATCCACATTATTGCAACCAAATAAAATTTCAAAAGAGTAGAATAATTCAATTATTATCAATTAAATAAAACATATTTCAATATTATTTTATGAAATTACAATTAAATGTGTATATCCAAGATCATTAAAGGAGCAAAGTATGTACTCATAAAATTACTTGTGTTTGATAAATTGTTTTGAATTACATATGGTCCTAAATGTGATAATCAATTGGTTTTAAAATAAAGCAATTAAATTTATTTCTGGCTTGGTAGGGTGGGGGAGGTAGTAGGGATTGAACAGGAGCATTGACCACTGAGCCACATCCCCAGCCCTATTTTGTATTTTATTTACAGAAAGGGTCTCACTGAGTTACTTAGCGCCTCACTTTTGCTGAGGCTGGAGAAAAGATATTTTTTAATCTAAAGAATTTCAAAAGAAACCTCTATATTAAATCTCATTGTCAGGTTGGTGATTTGGCTTAGATTATGGTGAAAGTATTTGAGAAAAGCTCTCCCTAAGGTCATTACAATATTGCATCATTACTTTAAAATAGACCTTATAAGTAGAGAAAAGAGCATTCCTTGCCAAAGCTTTGATGGAACCGCAGATTTCATTAGGTGAGAGAATGGGGAAGTCTGATGTCTAGAATATTTTGTGTTTCCGGTATCAGTTATTTTTAACTACTGGTTATTCACAAATCAATTTCTCAAGAATCACTTATTTCACTTTGGACATTAGCACTAAAATCATACTCAGAAGAAACACCAGGATAAAGCAAAACTCAAGTCCTGCAAAATATTTTTGAGATATCTTTAATCTCTAGCAAATATTGAGTCTTTGGTGGCATAAAAATTAGTGCAACAACAGTGTTTTAAATACTTGTAGTGATATAACTGAAAGACATTATTCAAAGAAGTCATGGAGGAGAATATTAGGATGATAATATAATAAAGTGCATCCAGACAGAACTCTGAGTAAGGGCAATACAAGTATAATAAGATGATGCCAGTCATTGCAAAATGAAGCGAGATCCTGTCCCATTTTAAGGGATCAGAATGTGGAGGGTTGATTTCTTTAAGTGGGTCTTAATTTCAATTGGTGAAAGACTTCTAAAATTTTGTGTTATGGGCACCAGAGGAGTACAACTAGTGTGTAGATGCTCATTTTCTTCTAAAACAGTCAAGTCATATAAATTCACAGTTGTTGAAATAGTCTATGATTTGACTTCTCTTATAATGAAGTGCTTCTCAGTTGAGAATAGTAATTTTTTGCTAAAATCAGGACAAAAGCAACAGAGGAAGGACTGTGTAAAAACAGGGACATGTGCCTGACTTTGAATCTGAATTATAGTATTGCTATTACATTATTACCATTATAAGTATCATTAGTGTGTGATGCACAAGAGAAGGTAGACTTTGATGATTAGCAACTCTAACATACAGTCCTGACAAAACCTGTAACTGTTCAAAAGCAGAAAATCCCTGGGACAATAGTGCTGCAGAAAGGGTACCTGAGAGCACCAGGTTCAACAGTAGTGGGAAGCAATGAACTAGATAGATGTTGAAGGGATGGGGTTACAGAGGCATGGGATAATGACAGGAATCATTTATGCCTATGGCTTGACTTTATTAAGAATCTAATAAACTCCTTTAGTCAAAATAACTCCATATTCCCTTTTCTACCTAAACTGAAATTGGTCCCACTAGTGTGTCTGAAATTCCAACATAGAAAATCCACTTAAATTAAATTAAATCTATTTAAATTGAACACCAACCATTTTCTAAACCCATAATAATTGTCTCTAAAGGATAATTTCTTCCTAAACTATTGAGTTCACTCCAGGCCAGGAGAACTCAAATATTCTGGAAGAAGACTAAAAAATTGGAAGGTTACATGAGGGATGTAGACAATAAAGGGCAGAGTCTTTCCTCTGAACATTTTGTTGTTGTTCTTGTTATTGTTACATTTTTCACTTACTAGACAAATGTTAAAATACCAAGCCAAGGTAAATTCTGGGGAATCCTCTATTGTTCTGAGTTTGAAGGTAGAGAAATATCCTGAGACTTCACTTCCCCTCTTTCAAATCAAGCAGGGCTCATTGTCTCCACAGACTTCTTTAATTATTTCTTTTTCTCTTTGCTTTCTATCTTTATTCTAACCTATAAGAGGAATTGAATATCAAGGTAGAAATTACTATCCCTATGGTGATAATGAAATTAAAAATCCATCCTTGCAAAAATGAGATAACAAAATCTCTATAATGGTAAGTGATTCCCCCCTTTACAGAACCGTCATTTCAGAGTCAGGTTTGTGTAACTGTCCTCTTTTCCTATTGCACACTCCAGCACCTCTTCACTGTAGGAGCTTAGCTCAAACAGGGGCCATAAGTTCATCAACAGAAATATCTGAGGGGAGCCTGCAGAAGTCACCCAGTATTGACATATCAGGAACCCCTGAGTGGAGGTATTGACCAGGTATGGGACCATTTGGACATGTTTTCACTTCTGTGATCCAAGTAAGGGAAACTTCATCAGATATACAATTGACACCATAATCGCAAACAGAGTTCTACCCATGGTCATGATATCTTTTAAAGAAAGAGAACTAACTGAATTTTTATCTATAAATATTAACATAAATATCTTAAGATAAACACTTTTTTAAAAAAATATGTGTTTCTTTTAGATATACATGACAGAAGAGTACATTATGACATATTATACATACATGGAGTATAGACCTTAATTAGATATGTGACATTATAAACATTTGATGCAGTTTATCTCTCTGTAATTTGTTTCCTGATTTGACATGAATAAATTGGACATATCATAGAGGAAAAATTATCAGAATAGATATAATTTAACTAATTTACAGAAACATGCCAATCAGTAATCAGTACTGATTTTTTCATTTTCCAAATACTATGATCATTCAATTTATCCTGAGTTAGAAATATATCTGATAATCTTTCTGATGTTTATTTTCAGGTAATATAGTTCTTTCTAAATTTCACCTGTTGGACTGATTCCATGGAAAAAATAGACAATGTAACCGGATTCATTTTCCGGGGGCTTTTTCAGAACCAAGAAGTTGAAGAAGTCTCTTTTGTGGTGTTCTCATTCTTCTACACAGTCATTCTTCTGGGAAACCTCATCATCATGCTGACCATTTTTATGGGGAATCTTTTGAAAACACCCATGTATTTCTTCCTTAACTCCTTGTCATTTGTGGACATTTGTTTTTCTTCGGTCACCGCACCCAAAATGATTGTTGACCTGTTAGCAGAAAACAAAACTCTCTCTTTTGAGGGGTGCATGCTGCAAGTTTTTGGTGGTACTGAGATCTTTATCCTCATAGTAATGGCTTATGATCGTTATGTGGCCATCTGCAAACCCCTGCACTATATGACCATCATGGACAGGGAGAGATGCAGTAAAATATTGTTAGGGACCTGGGTAAGTGGATTCTTCCATTCTATTATCCAAGTGGCTCTGGTCGTCCACCTAAACTTTTGTGGACCCAATGAGATTGATCACTACTTTTGTGATGTCCGTCCTATACTCAAACTTGCCTGCACAGACACCTACATTGTCAGTGCCATTGTGACAGCCAACAGTGGTACCATCACTCTGGGGAGTTTTGTATTTTTACTCATTTCCTACAGTGTCATTCTGGTGTCTCTGAGAAAGCAGTCAGCAGAAGGAAGGCGCAAAGCTCTGTCCACCTGTGGTGCCCACATAGAGGTGGTCATCATCTTTTTTGGTCCTTGTGTGTTCACATACATGCGCCCCAATGTTACCTTCTCAGAGGATAAGATGGTGGCTGTATTTTACACCATTATCACCCCCATGCTAAATCCTATGATCTATACACTAAGAAATTCAGAAGTAAAAACTGCTATGAAGAAACTGTGGGGAAGAAGGTGTTTTGGACCAGTGGGAAATACTTGGGAGTAATAATTTAAACAAATGATCTTAAATTTTCTCAGTCTTGCTTATATACAGTTCACAATGAACAAAATAATGACATAACTAGGTATTCTAGAGAAGCAAATGACAGAAAAAAACATATTAATAAAAACTGGATTATCACTAATCATTACTCAGTATTAATTTTGTTATTCCTTCATCAGATACTTTTCTAAAATATCAAGCCTGAGGAATATTTTTAATGTTTTTTATAGTTGTACATGTATACAAAACCTTTACTTATTTATCTTTATGTGGTTCTGAGGATAGAACCCAGGGCCTCTCATGTGTTTGGCAATGCCCTACCACTGAGCTTACAACCCCAGCTCCAAAACTGAAGAATTCTTAAGCACAGAATCTCAGCATTATTATCTTTTCCTCCTTTTTACCCTTTGCCATTTTCTTTAAATGATTTTAAAACCTACTCTGAAATACTTGAGTTTGTTTACAGGGTTAAGACCTGTTCTGGTATATGTTAAGCAATTAATAGGTACTTAAATTTTGAATAGATATCTGGAAAAATGACATCATAGCTAATGCATTTTTATAACAGTCCTACAAAACATAATCACATTTCATTGCAGTAATCTTGGAGTGATTGCAGAGGTGTGAACATCCTATCAAAATAATAAAAAGTAAGCTTAAATACAAAAGATAGGTTTTTTTTCTCTGGCTTTAGTATTTATTTTCTTTTCTCAACCCTAAAGACCCTGAATAAATATATCTCTTAGTTCATTAATCAGAATGTTTCATTGATGTTCTTCTTCTAACTATACTTTATGCGTAGTCTATAGCCAGCAGTGCTTCTTAACATATAGTGACTCCAGGGAAAGCTAGAGAATGACAACATAGCTAAGCCTGACAACATAGACAACTCTGACACAATTAACAGGTTGAATAAAATTTGCTGAAATGCATGTTTTGGAAAGCATAGTTTCTACGAAGTGTGAAAATCATAGTTTCTTCAAAGTTTGAATTAAATCGAAATTTTTTTCAGCTTTACTGAATCGATTTATTTATTTATTTATTTATTTATTTATTTATTTATGTGGGTTTGACTGGACTCTCTTACCCTATTTCCACCTGTGTGTTCTAGAAAGATTATACTGCACTAACACTTTCTTTTTGTGCTCAATTCTTGTGGTCTGATGATAGATTTCTCTTTCACCATAAGCCACCATTACCTGAGATAGGTTTGTTTGTTTGTTTGTTCGTTTGTTTATTTATTGTGGTGAATACGTGTATCTCTGATTGTCTCTCTGCTTCACTGTGATATCCACCAGTTTGACCCTGCTTCTCCATACATTTCTGTTAATGGTTGAAGGAGGGAGTGGAACTATGGCTCATGGGAAGCATCATAGTGCTTAAGAGTGATACCTGATGTTGGCTTACTCATGGAATTAAAAACAGATATATAGAAGTCTGGAGATAGAAGTTATAATACATTTATAAACCATGCTCTAGAACCATAACAAATCCATCAGTATAGTCCCAGTTTAGACATTGCATGCAATAGGTCTCTATGTCCCTTAGATCAAGTAATCAAACTAGGCTGGTAATTAAAATCACTTTGCCATTTTTCTGAACCCATAAGCTAGGATTGTGGGTTTCACAAATATCTGTGTTTTGAATAATTTTCTCTAGTAGTTTTCATATTGTTGATAGAACATCTGAATACTTGTACTTGAAAATCTGGGAACTGATGATTTTGATGTTCTTAGAATCAGGGAATTTGGACCATCCCCAGTGTTAAGAAGTATGAGCAACAGCATTTTATTCCATTAACACACAAGCATAGCATTCACTGCCAGCCTGGCGTTATTATACCATTGCTAAAAAAATATGGCAAATTATGACTTTTGTGGTAAACTTCCGATGAAAAAATATGCCAAACATTCTCATTTTCCAGAAAAATAGTATTTAGTAATGAAAAAAAAACAGAAATATTTCTCCCTCTATCTAACAGCTAATAGTTATATTTCTCTATCTGAAACAGCATAAGCAAGTGTAAATACATTTTTAAACAATGCTGCATGGGTTATATAAACACATTTCATGTTCCTTCATATTTCATGCCTTTGTTCATATAAGCATGCCTATAAAACTAATACATTTATCACATTCAAGTGTCTCCAGAATTACATTGTGGTTTCTGAATGAGTATTCCTTAATATTTCAGTGTTTTTACATCTAGTTCTTGTATGCTGCAAATATGATTAAACCAGCAGAGGAAGATGACTCTGATATTGATGCATGGAGGAAAAAGTTACCCGAAGTATTACTGGGCCCAACATAAAGTCTTAAATTAAACCCACTCAGTGTCAGCTTAGGTCATCTGAACTCCAGTAAGCTGAAGTTCCTAGAGGCACATGAAACAAAATTAAATACTTTTTGTGCAAACCATGAGTGTTAGGGTGGACATTTACACATTGTCATTTAGTCTGTAGATCTAAGGAGAGTAGTGGCAAATATATAAGGGGAGGTAGAGGCATGTGCTTGGATTAATAACAATTGTAATAAATTTACTATATGGTACTTTGAAAGGAGTAGTGTAAAAGGTCAAGTTGCAGAGACTGGACATAAAGGAGAGCATATTATATGGGTCATTTCTATGAAGGAAAAGCACAAAATACCTAAGTATAAAATAACCAATCTATTTCCACTATTTCTCTGATGGAGCATAGATAAGAAAGGCAATTGTAATGCCTTCCATGGTTGGATTAACTCCCTTTCACCCTCTTTGTTTTGTTAAAATTGAGAACAAGTATTAACAAAAGATAAATATAAGCCATATTCAAGTAGATTGCTGAAAGATCTGTATTCTCTCAGGAGAAAAAAATGGCAAATTTTTCACAATAAGTAAAATTAATTTTGTAGTGAAGGATGTAGCCTACATACACACCAACACTAAGCTATAAAAAAGTAATCAACAGAATCAGGTATTTGTCTTCAAGCTGTAGGTATCTGTTCACCCTCAGTTTCTTCATTTAGATAATCTCACAAAAACAAATTGTCATCAGATTGACATTAAAACAGAAGCTGACTTCATTTTAATATGGTTCTTTTATTATTTACCTCCTCCCATGATTCAAATTTCCTAATTTTTTGTGCAGGACACATGTCTGTGTGTGTGTGTGTGTGTGTGTGTGTGTGTGTTTGTGCTTGTGTGTCACTGAGGATTGAACTAGGGGCACTTAACCACTGATTTGCATCCTCAGCCCTTTTTAATTTTTATTTTGAAACAGCAACTTTCTAAGTTGCTGAGACTTACTTTGACTTGCAATTCTCATGTTTCAGCCTCTTGAGTTGTTGGGATTACAGGCATGTGCCACAACACCTGGCCATGTCTGGGTCTTTTTGTGTGAAGAAATATTATTACTGAAATCTTCATCACCCTGTGCCTGTGCACTCCTTGCTACCCTAACACTTTGGTTTCTGGTGCACACAGACAATAATACTTTGAGTAGATTCAATTCAGTTTCTTAGTGGAAACCATGATACAAGTGATAGAACAACAGAAAATGTCAGTTGTCTCTTGTACTTGAAAATTGGTGATTTTTCCTACACCTTCCAGAGAAATGAGGTCAAGGGACACAAAATTTCAATGAACATGAGGAGAAAGTTCAGGAGACCCTTTGTATAGCATGGTCACTATATGTGATAACAACATTGTATTCTGGGAAAGACTAAGACTAAGGACATCTATTTGATGTTCTCACCATGAAATATGAGCTTTGTAAGTACAATGTAAATGGTATAGTCATATTACATTAACTTTAAAGGCATTATTAATAAAGAATTAAAACACAGTCTAAGTGCATATTTTCCTATTGTTTAGTTTTATTTAATGTAGTTCTAATCTCAAAATGTGAGTGTTTAGGACCTCTTGATTTCCACAAGAGGGGTCTCATCAAGATAACAATTTCCTAAACAAGGACAGGACCACAAAACTATGATCCTGTATAATGGCCATTTTAAAATACTATGATGTCAATTATGTCTAGGTTCTTTCAAGATAGAATATGTTCTAGAATTTATCTCAGAGAGATCTAGAGGTCATTTGAACAAGGCTTTTGTATATAAGTTCAGAGAAATAAAGAAATGGAGATTTACTTTTCTAAATAAATGGGCCAATTAACTGAATGGTATTAGCAAGGGAAGTTTGAATTCTTCAAATCTTTGTGATTAATTTTATTTCTATAATTCCTTACAAAATATGGTTTATTTTCTGACTATTTCTTGTCGGTGATGCAGAGGCTGTAATTAAAAAAATTCTAAGTCTTCTTCTATTTATATGATTGGAAATTGGAGAGATAATCACAGTAATAACTGGAATACACACAGAACATGTTCTGAGGAAGTTTTATACCAAATATCAAAGTTTTATACCAAATATGAAGAATGCCTTGGGGAGTGTGGGGCCAAGACAAGCCGAAGTCTTCACCAGTGCTCACCTCATCTGAAGGATTATGATACCCTGTTAGCTCTCTTCTTATATGTAATAAGTTGCTTATGATATCCAACAGTCTTCACGTGTCTGGGAATCCCCTCCTCCAACCCCAAGTACCATCATTTTTCTCAATGAAATATTCTCGACCCTTTTTTTCTTCCCTCAAGGGAACCCCTGTGCCGACATATGAACTGTGCTAACCCCCAGTTCTGTCCAAGTTCCTAACAGATGGGTGCTCAGGGAGACTGGCCCCCATCAGAAAGACTTCTACTTCTGTGACATGGTTCCCTTGCTGAAGCTATCCTGAGCTGACATGAGGCTCCCGCACATGACAATCATTACCACCCCAGGGATGATGTCCCTTTTGAACTTTGTTGCCTTTGTAATTTCTTACATCATCGCCCTATTCACCTTGTGGACCTGCTCCTCCAAGTGCCACCTCATATCCTCTCCACCTGTGGCTCAGACATCCCTGTGGTTTCCACTGTGGTTGTCCCTCTTCTTCACCTTTTTCAGGGTTGATTCTGCCAATGATGGC